CGCAGTCTGCCGCCGCCGCGGGACGGGACCGGTCGGCCTCACTTCCTCCCCTGCCGGCGGGGGTGCGCGGGCGGCGGGCGGACAGGCGCCCCAGGTTGGTGTGTGTGGGCCCAGGCTGGGGAGGGCGGTCAGCCCGAGGGGGCAGGAAGAGGGTCGCCCGGCCAGCAGCAAGCGAGTCCGGAGTTGGCCCCGCAGGAATACCTGGGCGCGGGGGCGTGGGGGAGCCGACCGGGGCCCCTCCGCTGGCCCCTGGTGGGGTGAGGACGGCCTGCGCGTGAGTGTGGGCTTCTGGCTGGGCCAGAGGGGGACGGGCCGCACCCCCAGGCCCCACCCTGGACTTACTCCCTGAGGGCTTTCCCAGTGTCACTAGAGGACCCCATCGGGTCCTTTGTGCCCTGGAGACTGAGGGCCGGGCCCTGCCCCCAGTGTGTGGACAGCCCTTTCCGGAGAGCCCGGGCGGTTGGTTTGTCCAGGGAAACCGCCACCTTCCAGGAACACTGCGGCCACCTTTCCTAGCTCCCGGGACGTCCAGGGCCGGGTCCAGGGGTTCCGGGGTGCTGGTCAGGGGGGTGGCTGTTCAGCCCCTGCCTCTGCGGGGCTTCTGCCCTGTGTGCGTGCTTGTGGGGATTGCTGCGCCCTTCTCGGGGCCCCCAGCACCCCGCCCCGGAGCGAGCCGCGAGGGTCAGAGCCTGCCCACTCCTGGGCTGGCACGGGGCTGCTCTGCGCCCCGCTGCCTCCCAGCCCTGGGCCGCGGGCGCAGCGGGGCCATCTGCGGGCAGGCAGCGCCCTGGCCCTTCTCGGGGCCTGTCCCGTCTGGCGGGGCTCTGGAGACCGCCGGCAGAGCAGAGGGAGTGGGAGCGTGGCCCCCAGACCCTGGGATGTGCATCCCCTGCCCGCACCCCAGGGTCAGGGAAGGGGCGCAGACAGCAGGGGCCCTGCCGGCCTTCGCTCCCGGGTGACCCACTGGGCCCCCGGCCGGCACAGCAGCGTCCGCCTCACTGGCCACTTTTTCAGAACTTCTCACAGCCCCTGGGGTGCTTTTCTGGCTCAGTAAAGAGGGGAGAGGGGCCCCAGTGACCCGCCGTCCAAGGGCCTGGGCCTCAGGGGCCGTGGGCCACCTGCCGCCTGGCTCTGCTGGCCCAGGCGCACGGCTGCAGGCTCGGCTGCTGCGGCCCCCGGGACTTCCCAGGCAAGGGCCGTTCTCCCCGGGCCGGGGCAGTCCTGGGCGTGCGGCGCCGGCCCGAGGCCGGGCTGTGGGTTGGGCCTGGGGCGCAGGGGATGCCCCACGCACTGGAGCGCGGCCCCTTGGGCCGAGGCTGGGAGCAGGGCCGGCCCATGTGGCCAGGGTGACCCCGCCGTCCAGGCAGAGACAGGCTCTCCAGGCTCAAGTCCCGACTCACATGCTGCTGCCAGACGCTGGCCCCGACGGGGGTGGCCCTGGAGCCGGGTGGGGCGCCCTGGCTCTCCAGGCGGGGCGGGTGCAGCCGCTGAGCCGGCGTGGGGCTGCTCTTTGGGGGGCTGCGCCCACCTGCCTGGGCACGGAGATGCTCCGCGGCGCCTCCGAGGCGCACGGACCCCGGCCGGCCTTCGGGCATCCAGACACCGGGGCTCGAGGGGCCCCCGGGTCTGCGTCCGGACAGGCGACGTGACCCCAGGTGCGTGCCCGCCGCAGCCCCCGTAGGAGCAGACGCCGGCGCCAGCAGAGCCCCGCTGGCCGCGTCCACTCCGGGACTTGCCCTCCCTGGCTCCCCCAGGCGGGCAGGGCCGGGCCACGGACACAGACTCGCCCCTGCACGGCCGGGCACTGCCTTCAGCGAGGCGGGGGGCGCAACCCGGGCCCCCCGGCCGGGAGCTGCGGGAGCCGGGGGCACGGGCACAGGATGGGCCCCGCACAGCGGCGGGAGGCTCGGGCTGGACCTCGCTGGTGAGTGCCACCGGGGGCCGAGGCTTGCGCAGGGCAGGGGCTGGCGGGGCCGCCCCGGGGTTTCTGTCACATTCCAAGCCCCGTGTGGGTGTGGGTTGCCTGGGGCCAGCCCGCTGCCCGGGCGGAGCCCTGTGGCGGCGCCCTGGGCAGGTGTGGGCGGTGTGACGCGGGGCGGGGGTGGCGGGCGCTGTGGGCCCAGAAACAGCCTCCAGCGCTCCCCGAGCCACCCCTGCAAGGCGGACAGAGGCCCGGAGAAGCCTGGCGCCTCCCAGACCGCACAGCGGCCAGGCTTGGGCTGTGGCCTGCCCTCCGCGGGGCCACCCTGTCCTCAGACCAGGAGCCAGACGGGCGCAGTCCGGCCCGGCTGGGCCATGGCGAGAGGCTGGGAGGTCGCAGACGGCCCCACCGCCTCGCTCCGCTCCCTGCAGAAGGCCGAGGGCTGGGGGCACAGGTGTGGGCAGGTGCCCTTGGGCGAGTGTGATGCCGCCTGGTGGCTGCTCGCTGGGCCGAGACTGTCACCGTGTTACTGCCAGGTCAGGCTGTGCGCCTGTCGGGCAGGTGTGCCCTGGGCAGGTGAGCAGAGGGTTGTGGTAGCAGGTGCACGTCACAGGCAGGAGCTGAGCGGGCACCAGGCCATGTCGGCCCAGCCGGCCCTTCACCCTGCACCCTCCCGCCGGGCGCTGACCGGCCGGCTGAGAGCGCCGGGTCCGTGCGCGGGTGCGCGTGCCCACGTCCACCGGGAGCAGCTTGTCGGCCAAGGTGGGCAGTGACCCCAGGCCGGGAGGTCACGGCTGCAGGTCACCGGCAGGTCACGAGGCCCCACCATGTGCCCCTGGGCCAGACCTGGGGTGGGGGCGTCCCTGGAGCCGCCCCCTGAGTGGACCCGACCAGCCTGTGCCCAGACCAGGGATGGGGCCTTGGCGCTGGGCCCTGGCGACCGACCCCTGCTGGCTCCCTGGGCGCAGGGCTCAGGAACCCCGCCCGCTGGGTGCGGGCCCAGGGAGGAAGAGGCGGGGCTGCCTTGTGCAGCGGGCCAGCCAGTGATAAGGGGTCAGCCTGAGGCCTCGGCAGCAGGCACCCCCCAGAGACGCCTCT